AAAGTACAGATACTTGTGTGAAAATGAAACGAGTAGAAGTCAGAAGTAGGAAGAAAAATAAGTAATGGAGTAAAGTAGAGATACCTAAAAAGTTTACTTAAGTACAGTAATGAAGTATTTGTACTTCCTTACTTGACACCATAACTTCTGCGTAACTTATCCAGAACTTCTCTCCAACGCATATCAACGTATCTGAAGTGTTTTTAGAAGAGCGCTGAACGTGTTTCTAACTTCCAGCTACTGTATAATGGCGTATTGGCAGCGTTTTGGTATAAAGGGGGTTCACAGGAGGAAACTGTCAGTTCTCCTCCAGACTTCATCCCCATCATAGGGTGAGCCAGAAGGTTAGAGTGATGGATCCTCCCTGCGTTCACGCCCACCACCAACACACTTCCTAGCAGACATGATGCTGAATCTGCTGCCACCAAAAACCTTCTTTCTTTCTTTCTTTCTTTCTTTTTCTTTCTTCTTTTTTTTTTGGGTGGTGGTAAACAGCAGCTAGGTTAATCCTGCAATCAAAGACATCTTTTTATGCAGGCCGCGCGCCTCCAGGAGCATCGCTGCTCCCCTCAGGACACTGGCTTGTGCATCATTTCATGGGCATCCCGTGCTTTATGCATAAGTTAGGCTGTCGTTGCACAGAAGTTCTGGACTTGTTATGAATAATGTATGTATACGCCCAGGATAGAAAAATACATAGAAAGTTCAGCGTGTGCCAGCATTCTAGGAGTTTCTGGGAGGTCAGGTATGCGCTGGATAAAAAGTAAGGTGTGACGAGCTGCATATCATCGTATCATAGCATAAGTCCCAAAATGGGCTCAGAATGCCACTAAAACCAGGAGCAGCTCCAAACAGCTGAATGAGGTTCTGCTGAGTAATAAGGATGCTTAACATGAAGGGGCAGAAAAACAGAAGGAGAAAGCTTAATTAGTTCAATTCAATTCAGTTTATTTCCGTAGCGCTAATTCACAACACATGTCATCTCAAGGGTCTTTATAGAGATCATTAAGTCAGACTGTTACAAATTTTACTGTCTAAGGAAAACCAGCTGATTGCATCGACTCATTGACTCTTCAGCAATCCCTCACACCAAGCATGCTTGTAGAGACAGTAGAGAGGAAAAACTCCCTTTTAACAGGAAGAAACCTTCAGCAGAACCAGGCTCAGTGTGAGCCTGGTTCTGCTGAAGGTTTCTTCCTGTTAAAAGGTTCTGCTGAGGCCGACTGGGGTTCAAGGAGACAGAAGCAGACATAGAAAAAGAAGCATAGATACAAAAGGCAACTGTCAACCAGCTCCACAGGC